TTCAGGAGAAAAACCAATCTCCATAGCACAGCCCTGAGGCTCACTGAGGAAGTCTCCTGCTCCCCTCTCCAACCCCCTCATGTCATAGGCTCTCCACACTTACCACAAACTTTCCCCAAATGCACCCTGTTCTCTGGCCTCCCTGCCAGACACAAGCATACATACACTTTTCCCGTTGGCAATTCCCACAAATACTCAGGCAACACCTCTTGACCTGGCTTGGGGAAGGCCTTCTAGATAACTAACTCTCATCCGGGCACCTTTCCTATGTGCTACCTCAAGACTATGTCCATATCATCCCATAGTGCTGGACACAGCAAATGACTGGGGATTTTTTTGTTTGTTGTTTTGTTTTTTCTTTTTTAATGTACACCTATGTATCAGCTGGCCTTTCCTCCTAGATAGTGAATTCTTTGAGGTGTCTTACTGGCTCTCCCCTTGCCAGTACTGATTACAGTAACTGGCACATAGCAAATGTCAAATAACTGCCAAATAAATGAAGGAATGAATGCATGCATTCCTTCAGACTCCACATCAGCCTCAAAGGAGCAATTTTGCATGCTAAAAACTGCCTATGAGAAGGATAAAGAAAAGGAAGCTAGGACTATGCAATAATTACCTTACCATATCAATACACTGCTTGTATTAACAGGGTCAATGACAAGTAAAAGCAAATGAATGCATCCCAGTATCATAAAACAAGCAGTATGTTAAGCCTTAGGGCTTTGAAATTTGGGCATCTAAGATTTTGGGCTATCTGCAACAACAACAAAGAAATGCGTATGTATCCTCGAGTCAAATTGTAGGAAAAGTAAATGCAGAGGCAAGTTTGATGTTTTACATGTGTCATTCATAGAACCACAGTGACTGTATGACCCACGGCCCCTGCTCAGGTTGCAGTCCCTGAGTCTGACCTGGATGGGGCGGTCGGCAGTGAGCATGGCCCTCACACACCTGCTAACCCCAGACCCCTTCTCTGCTTCAGAAATACGAAGTCAGCAAGAGAAGGGACCTGGAGCAACCAGATGGCAAACGGAAAAGAGTGAATTGCACAGGGTCCTCCCAGTTTAGAAGAGTCTTAGGAAGGATACCCCAGGAAGTATCAGCCTCAGGAAAGTATCTCAGGACCTCAGGGGACTATCTCCTTCCATCCTCACACTTGACTCTTCTCTGTTCATATTCTTTTCTTGGGTGTCTCATTTATTTTGTTTTTTGTTTTTTTTTTTTTTTTAAAGACGCAGTCTTGCTCCATTGCCCAGCCTGGACTGCAGTGGCACAATCTTGGCTCACTGTAACCTCCACCTCCCGGGTTCAAGCAATTCTCCTGCCTCAGCTTCCTGAGTAGCTTGGATTACAGGCACCCACCACCACACCCAGCTAATTTTTGTATTTTTAGTAGAGATGAGGTTTCACCATATTGGCCAGGCTGGTCTCGAACTCCCGACCTCGTGATCTACCCGCCTGGGCCTCCCAAAGTGCTGAGATTACAGGCATGAGCCACCGTGCCCAGCCTATTCTGCTCTTTTTTTGATGCTAAGGATCCCTACATCTGCACATTAGGCCTCAGCCTCTGAAGTTCTTGTTATGTGTTTCCAACTGCCTGGGAGAAACAAAACTCCTCCAACTGGGGATACAGAACATAACACAGAAAAGGCAGAAACCTCCTCTAACACTGCTGTGGGCTTCCTGACAAGGCCTCATGCAGAAAGAAGGTCTCAAACGAAGTGTTGTGTTGAAGAGGGCACACCAAAAGGGGCAGTAGTTAAGCACCCAGCACTGACATCACACATGACTGGCTGGATCCCCAAATCTATCCATACTACCTGTGTCAATTAGGCAAAGGTTTCTTAATCTCCACAGGCCTCAATCACCTCATCTGAAACCTGGGAATGGTAACGGTAGTCACCACATCAAGGGATCAACTGTTCTATTCACAGATTATTTTCAATATGCCTACAAAACCTCTAGTGTTTCCTAAATCTTAAGAAAACAAAACAAAACAAAAAATACTTGACTATTCTCTAAACGTTGTCCCTAAATCCCTCCTTGCCTTTCCCATAAAACTTCTAGAAAGATGGTCTATATATGGTCCATATTTATGCTTGGTCCCTCTACGTTCAGCTCAACATTCTACAGAAACATCTCCTTTGGGTTAACAATGGCCTAACTGGCGATTATAGCTCCTGTTCATGCATCTTGTTTGCAACGATGAGGCAAATCAGAAAAGAAAAGAAGGCTTTCATCATGGTAGGGGCCTCGAGGCAAACTGCTTAGATGGGCTAAGGTGTTTCCTTACCTAGAGGAACCAGAAACAGCACAGTGGAAGGGATGGAGGAGGAATCGTATTGGAGAAGGGAAGCCAAAACTCAGCAACAAAGGAGGATACTAAAACCAGAATCAAGCAGTGAGCGTGCCTGGCCAGGGAAAGAGTTAGGTATCAAAGGACAAGAACAAGTTGAGATCCAGAATGTAGGCCAGATGGAAGCCAGAAGTTCAGAACTCCAAGCACCTGGGCCAATTTTTTTTTTTTTTTTTTTTTGGAGAAGCAGTCTTGCTCTGTTGCCTAGGCTGGAGTGCAGTGGGCAGTCTCGGCTCACTGCAAGCTCCACCTCCCGGGTTCACGCCATTCTGCCTCAGCCTCCCAAGTAGCTGAGACTACAGGCACCCGCCACCACGCCCAGCTAATCTTTTGTATTTTTAGTAGAGACGGGGTTTTACCGTGTTAGCCAGGAAGGTCTTGATCTCCTGACCTTGTGATCCGCCCGCCTCGGCCTCCCAAAGTGCTGGGATTACAGGCGTGAGCCACTGCGCCTGGCCCGGGTCCATTTTTAAAAGGTGCTGTAGTTATTTGATGCTAGGGATGGCAGCACTTGTCCACAGCATTTCTCAGTATTAATCCCCTCCTCCTCCACATCTTGGCAACTCTCCCTCCCTGTTCTTCTCAAGACCCCTGGTCCTTAGTTCCTAAGGAGGCATCATCTCCCCCATCTCCAGTGCGGGGTTGCATGGAGTGGGAGCTATCTTCTTGTCTTCCTACTCAGCTTGAGCTATGGTGCCAGGAATTCTTGCTCATCTGATCACTGAATCTGTTTTTGTCTTCTTCTTGGGCATGAAGCTAGAATGCACTTCCCAGCTTCCCCTGCAGTTAGCGTAGTTATGTGACCAGTTCTAGCTAACAGAAAGTAAGTACAAGTGGAGCTCCCTGTTTATACCACTGGCCCTCAAAAGACCCCTGTTGAGATCCTTCACCCTATTCTCATTGAGGGCGACTGTGGGAGGAGGGCAGTGAAGATGGAAGTGTTTCTTCCAACCTGGTTCCCTGAATGACTACACAGAGAAAAGCCTTCACTGCGAATCAGAAACACATATGTTGGATTTTATGTGAGTATGAAATAAATTTCTACTGTGTTAAGCCACTGACATTTGAGGTTTATCTGTTGTAGCAGCCGTCATCTTCGCTGTTAAGTCCCAAATCTAGATATCGTGAGTCCAAAACTCTAGGCTTAACATTGGACCCAAATTTCTAACTTCTTTCCTGTCCTTCACTGGACTAATTTCTAATATTTTGCAGAAATTATTCCCTAAACCTCTTGGATTGGGTTGGGTTTCTTCCATAGGTGATTCCAGAGCACCTTACTTATTATCATGTTAATTGTTTAGTCATCTGCCTCCCCAACTCTTTGGTGAACTTTTTGACAGTAAAAACTGTTTTAATCTCGTTATCCTCTGTGTCCAGTTGGCATTCAGGAAGGGTTTCTTTTTGTTCTTCATTTTTAAATTAAAAGCAAAGTGCATTTAGTGGTACTAAAAAACAAGAACACATCACCAGTGATAAGTGAGTGTTGGCATACACTTATACCCCCGTTCAGTGTGATGAGAAGAGCCCTTCACCTCCACAGTTGTTTTTCTCAAACCCATACCCCTAGTCTAATCATGTGAAGAATAGTCTCTTATAAAAACAAATAGATGAATGACTAAATATAGGAATTAGAATTTGTCATAAAAATATAAGGTTCAAAAGTGATATGATCAAAGTTCATAAAATAATGAAGGGTATGGGGAGGAGAGGCTGAGTGGGGAAATTATTAAATTAATCCCTAGCAAAACATAAATAAATAAAATTATTAAATGTTGGAAGAAGGATTTTTTTAAGATTTAAGGACAAACTAAAGAAAGCTTTACTGAGAAGTTAGTGAACTTGAGCTTTTTAACTTCAAGAAATAATAGCGAATATTTAAAAGCTACTAAAGAAAACTTGATTTGCTGAGAGTATTTCCCAAGTCTTTTGAGGTTGATCATGAAGAAACAATACAGCTTTCCAGAACATATCCATCCCTTAGACAGATCCCTGAAAGACAGGAGATATTTAAATCCCCTTTTGTACTATCAAAACCATGGTTTAAATAGATTCGAGTGATGCTGCCTCATGTTCCACCAGCTAACATCCCAGTGACAATTCACTCGGGTGCTCCCACCCACTGTGCAGTAGCATTTAGGGCACCTATGAAGAGCCCAAGGCCGGGGGTGGGTGACCAAAAGTGGAGCTAGCAAACAATCCAGAATTTTCTAGGGCACTCCTTCTGGGTCCTTCACCCCACACATGCAGAATTTTCCTGTACACACCAAGGCAAAATGATTTCAAAGTCTATGAGTGACTTACAGAAATAACCAGCATCCCCACTTTACTTCCAGACTTTCTATTCTCCACACCTGGGGAAATTCACATAAGGAAATACCTAGACTAATAAAAAGTTTTGCCTTTCAGTGATCTCGATTAACTCTCTAAAAATTAACTTTTAAAATACAGACCATAAATTAGTGTTGGGTTCTGTCCGTCCTTGACCTTTCAATCACTTTTACTAGGTCAAGCCACTTAACTTTCATCTGGAGAGGTATGACTGATCTAAAAGGAGCTAAAACATAAAACAGACGTTTTCCTTTCCCAGAAACAATGTTTAACTCATAACTTTACTCTGAAAGATTCAAAGCAGCACACTCACCTGTAGCTGGGATATAGTTAAAGGGTATCGGAATAATATCCAGGTGACACCTTCACTGCAAGGTGGGATGGTGAGAGAGCCTTCATATACCCAGTAATCCCGCAGCAGAGGGTCTGCACGGCCACGTGGATATGTCATGGAAAAGGCAAGTGAATTAATAACAATCCTGATGACTCCAACAACAATTTTCAAAATTACAAACTGTCCAAATGATGCTTCTAAGATGGATGTCATTTTTAAACTAGAGCTCCACATTCTTACAGTACTCATTGTGGAAAAAATAATTGATAAAAAACATGATGAATTCTCTATTATTCACAGTGATTTCTATCAATGGATTACTATATATACCTATTAAGTTTAATCACTTTAGAAGTGTATCTATATTTTGGATTTTTTCACTTTACTAAAGGACTTACCTATTTCATATCTAATATTTATTGAATGCTTACGACGTGCCAGTAATTTACTTTAATTCATTTAACCTTCACAATAAACCAGTGAGATATGTAGTAATATTAATATTATTTTTCAGATGGGGAAACTGAATCTCAAAAGAGTAGCAGTTTGCAGAAGGTCACTCAGCTAATAATCACTGGCAGAGCCAGGATTCGAATTCATGCAGTCTGTCTTCATAACCTGTATTATCGTTTTTAAGAGACAGGGTCTGGCTCTATCACCCAGGCTGCTGGAGTGTGGTGATGTGATCATGAATCACTGCAGCCTCAAACTCCTGGGCTCAAGCAATCATCTCACCTCAGCCTCCCAAGTGGCTAGGACTGTGGGTGCACACCACCACAGCCAGCAATTATTTCTTCTTTTTTTGAGAGCGAGGTCTGGCTATGGCTAGTCTCAAACTCTTGGTCACAAGCAATCCTCTCACATCAGCCTCCCAAAGTGTTGGGATTACACAGGTGTGAGCCACCACATCTGTCTGAAAGCCTGTATTTTTAACCATTCAGTTCTAGCTACCACTATACTGCTTCTGCAACAGCAAAATATTAAAATATTACAATAGAACAAAATGGGTCATTTTTATGAAATCTTTTAGCTCTGCATTAGAGGAATTTATGATTAATATGATGGATAAATGTTTAATATATGATAGAAATTGGTTTGTTGTAGATTAATTAAATGTAGAAAACAGAAGATACAATGTACCAACTGGTTTTGTTTAAAACACTAAGAGACAGCACATAATTTGGGCAGAGAAATGTAAAGATCAAAATTTTATATACAACAACCTTTAAATCATATTCTGAGTATTTTATGTATAATTGTTACCTCTACACAAATACAATGAGAGTAATATATAATAGTATTACTGCAGAGAGGTAACCTTACAAAATTAGATACAAAGTCTACTGTACTCTAAGGATTAAGAACTCCACTGATCAGTCTTAGAGGTACATCAAGGTTTTTTCTTTGTTTGTTTGTTTGTTTGTTTGAGACAGTTTCACTCTGTCACCCAGACTGAGTGCAGTCACATGATCTCGGCTCACTGCAACCTCCATCTCCTGGGTTCAAGCGATTCTTCTGCTTCAGCCTCCTGAGTAGCTGGAATTACAGGCGTGAGCCACCACACCCGGCCAAAGTTATTTTATTATACTGGTGCTTTACACAGAGGTAGCAATTTTTACAAATGACAATCCTATGAAAGCTCTTCGTGGATCAATGGAACTAGTGGCAAAGTGTTTCTTTATTATTTCAAAAGGTTTACTTCCATATTCCATGGAAATTATATCTGCTAAAGAGAATGTAAACTGCAAATAAATTTTATTAATTAACAATATATAGTTTTACATAGTCTGAAGAAAACAATGTGACTATAGCCACTGTTAAAATTCATTTTATGCAATCAGATAAACACTCACCTGGTAATAAAGTGTTAGGATTAAAGCAAGGTATTGTTTTGGACTTCCCCTGAAAAGAAAAAATGTTTACCCAATGTTAATGTAATATTTCTAGATTTTAGAATAAAAATCTATTAGAACTAAAAAATTAGAATGAAGTCTTTTCTGAATGGCCTCATCAGGTCCCACAGACTTGTGGGTATCTCCTTCCACCTTCTCACTGGAGTAACATTGTCTGGTTCCTGCTCTAATTATATGGCTATTTTCTTTGCTACCACAGTTCAATTCTCCCTATAAGTCCTGGTGTGGAACCTACACATGGTGCCCCATCTGCCCCATGTCAGTTACCTTTTCTGCTTTGAGCACATTCATACCAGAGACTTGGGCTAAATTCTCATTGTAAAATGCCTGAACCCTGGATGGGGGAATTTTCAAAATGCCTTTCCTCCTGCTTGCTTTCATTTCAGCTCCTAACCTTTTTGGCACTACAACCTGGCTTGCAACTTCTTGTTTTGTCCTATTTGGATTTGGTAATTCAGCTCTGGGATCTATACTAGATGCTCTCCTCATCTGGAAACGGAGATCTGAAACAGATGGAAATATTCTGTTCCAATCAGTGTTTGTCAAAGCTAGATTTAAATTGCAAGGGAATAATTTGTGCCCTTATTCAACAATTCACATTTAAGATCATCATTTTATTTGTTTTTTGTTTTGTTTTGTTTTTGTTTTTTTTTGAGACAGAGTCTCGCTCTGTCGCCCAGGCTGGAGTGCAGTGGCTGGATCTCAGCTCACTGCAAGCTCCGCTTCCCGGGTTTACGCCATTCTCCTGCCTCAGCCTCCCGAGTAGCTGGGACTACAGGCGCCCGCCACCTCGCCCGGCTAGTTTTTTTGTATTTTTAGTAGAGACGGGGTTTCACCATGTTAGCCAGGATGGTCTCGATCTCCTGACCTTGTAATCCGCCCATCTCGGCCTCCCAAAGTGCTGGGATTACAGGCTTGAGCCACCGCGCCCGGCCAAGATCATCATTTTAAATCATGTCATTTAAATTGCTTAGACTTTAGAGGCAAATAGTCCTGTCATGTGAATCAGATGTTTCTTAAAAGATTTTTCTCTATCAATACAGATGCAATAGGGAAAGTTATTGCATAACCTCCAAGTCCCTTCCTGACTTCCTGGGACTATTTTATACATTAAAGAATCTAGCTCACTTGCCTCCCCAATCCTCCTGAATTCCATAATGATTGGTGTCCTATTAGATGATGAAATAAAGGAAACTTTCACAGCCCACAGCCCATTGCAGTTGTACAAATATAAGTCAAAATGTGCCCTCACCGTCTTTTTATCAGCTTCTTTTGTCTGGACTGGGCTTCCCTTGGAAGCTGGGTTCATTCCAAACCTACTCAGGAGATCTTCAGTGGGGGTTCTGCCTGGTTCAGGATACCCTGGGCTGTGCTAGTATAAACCTAATCAAACTTGATTCCCAAATTGATCTTTCTTAAAACTGGCTTTGGGTCTCTGGATCTCCTGTAATTAAACAAGTTCAACTCCCGGTCTGTATCTCCAGCAGCCCTACAAGACTGGACTACTTCCCCTCCCCCAGGCCACTCACATTCAACTGACTAAGAGTGAGCCAAGAAGGCACTGCTTATAAGAGAGACTGGCACTGGGCCGGGCGCGGTGGCTCACGCCTGTAATCCTAGCACTTTGGGAGGCGGAGTCAGGTGGATCATGATGTCAAGAGATCAAGACCACCCTGGCCAACATGGTGAAACCCTGTCTCTACTAAAAATACAAAAACTAGCTGAGTGTGGTGGTGGCATTGGCTTCCTAGCAATGCTAGGCCATATCATTGCAGAGTCATGTTGATCACCTTCTTTTGGATGTTATCTTACCGCATATATGTACTTGTTTTCTTTCTTTAAATTTATTTAACGTAAATACTTTGAAATATGATTCCCCAAGTTTTTATTTGTTTCGTTTATACAACTTTTATGCAGGTAGGAAAGGGTTAACTCAGCAGGCCTGAGTTGCTCAAATCCTGCACATCCCATATAAAGGCCTGCTTTTAGGACTAACTCTTGGGTCCTGGGATATAAACTCTGAGCTTGGAATATTCTACCTGATAAGAGTGTTTCTGTGTGCCTGCAGCCTTGGGCCATGCTGTATTTATGGTGAACTCCTGTTGTTATGTTTGAGGCCTTCAGACATACTGTACCAATTGCAACAGAGAAGCTGATGCTAACAATGTGACTTATGGTGAAGAGGGCAGGGAGAGGGTTGCTGCTAGAGAGTGAGTAGCTGAGGACAGTTACGTTGCAGGCATTTTGTGCTTCAATGACTGACCCCTAATAAATCTCTGGACACTAAGGCTAGAGTGAGCTTCTGTAGTTGTCAACACTTCACACATGTTATGACACATCATTGCTAGGAGAATTAGGGGCCTCCTCGCATGACTCCACTGGGAGGGGACACCTGGAAGCTTGTGCCTGGTTTCCCCTGGACTTCATTCCGTGCACCTTTTCCTTCTGCTTTTCGATCTGTTTCTTTTCACTGTAATAAACCAAAACCACAAGGATAACAGCTTTTCTGAGGTCTGTGAGTCCTTCTAACATAGCATCGAGCCTGCAGGTGGTCACAGGGACCTCCTACACAACCAGTATTTCTATATTATTTTAAATAACGACTTACCTTATACTGAATATCCTGGAGGATTTCAGTCACAGCCTTCAAGCCAACATGTTCCTTTCCTATCTGAAAAATATAAAGCATAAACCACAACCACAACATTTTTCAGTGTTTAGCTTTAACTCAAAAAAAAACTAACAGGGCCGAGAGTAGTGGCTCATGCCTGTAATCCCAGCACTTTGGGATGCCGAGTTGGGTGGATCATGAGGTTAGGAGATCGAGGCTAACACGGTGAAACCTTGTCTCTACTAAAAATACAAAAAATTAGCTGGGTGTGGTGGAACGCACCTATAGTCCCAGCTACTCGGGAGGCTGAGGAAGAAGAATCACTTGATCCCAGAAGGCAGAGAGGTTGCAGTGAGCCAAGATCATGCCACTGCACTCCAGCATGGGTGACAGCGTGAGACTCTATCACCAAAAAAAAAAAAAAAAAAAAAAACTAACAGAACTTGGTTCCAGTCCATCTGAATGTCCTTTTGGAGGAACAATTAAATGGCCTTTTATTAATAACTAGGTCAATGTCTACTAAAGGTAATTAAAGTTGTAATGAAGCTAGTATAATAAAGTATTAGATAAATAAATGTACAAGAACTCGTTCTAAATTCTTACTATGTATAGGAATCACTCATTTTGCTACATATATCAAATTATAAAGCACTGTTATATAAAAATATCAAGGATATTTTTGAATTAAAACTACTCAGTACATGTTCAAACCCTTCCATGTTTAACTCTGGCATCTATAGATCATTGCTGTAAAGATTTTAACAATACTGAAAAATTATATTAACTTAGAAAAGCAGGTATGTGATTTTGTATGTTAAATTCACCAAAATCAAGACCCTTCTTGATTACTACTAGACATAATTTTATAACTACCTATTTTTAAATAAATAAGAATGTGCTTTTTATAGCCTTATTTTTAAAAACATATCACTATATATTATTAGTGTATAAAATGCTCCCAAAAAAATTGAGACCAAAAAATTCTAACACTTAATATTCTTGACTTTGGCTTTAAAACTTTTAAATGAAATCTGACCAATTTCCAATGGTCCATGATAATGGAGGAGAGTAATGGAGGTCATTTAGAACCTCAAATAAACAATTGCTGCTTTTGTCAGCTTTTCTCCTTCTACATAGATATTTGGAGAACGACCTAAGAGAAGCAAGAGTAGCTGTCAGTATGTTCACATTCTCTGTTTCTCCCAATATTAACCAACTGCAAAACATGCAGATGAAAGAGCATCCAAAGGCACAGGAGAGATACAAGAAATGCTCCACCTAAGGTAGGCCAGTCAGCTCTAAACCATTAAGACGTGAACTACTTTCCAAGAGTCTACAATTATTCCTGAGATAGGCTCTAAAAACAGAAAGTAAACTTTCTAAAGTTAGAAACAAACAAAAAAAATTAAAACCTAATGCATATGTACCTATGGGTACAGCAGCCTGAATTTTTAGGCAGAAATCATTACCCATTCTTCAGGAGAAATGGACCTCTCTTTGTCTTACTGGTTTAACCTTGCTATAGCACTGGGAGGCCTACGTCTGCACTTGGGGTCTGCTTTCATCTCAGGCAACTCCTGTCGGGTTGTAAACTCTTTGAAGAGTCCACATATGAACACTAAGGCCACTCAATGTGGCAGCTCAGGAGCAGGCTCACTTTGCACTGGACTGCCTGGATTCCAATCCTGACTCGGCCACCTCTTAGCTGTGTGGCCTTAAGCAAGTGTACTTAACCTCTACATCCTTCCGCTTCCTCAGCTATTTGCTGGGGAGGATAAAAATGATAGGTTTGTAGATAAGATTAAATCAAACGAAAGCTGTAGAACAGGTTTGGGTCATCATAATTCATTTAATGTCCATTATTATTATTCTTAATCTGGATGCCCTACAGCATCAAATATAGTTTTTCCATACAGTAGCACTTAACAACTATTACTAGCTCCTTCTATCTATAAAGACTCTACTTTATGGGCAAAACTTTATATCTTGCAAATTCTATAAACTCTGTTATTACGCCATCTTTTTCTTTTCCTTCCTTGCCAAATTTTTGTATGAAGTAATGATGACCAGCAAAAAGCAAGTACTGATGATAATCTCCACACCCCAACTGCTAAAACGATGCAAGCAACTGTTCAGATAACACAACCTGGTACCAAAAGCCCACTAGGAACCTTGAGAACAACTCATTTCTCAGCTCTCACCTTTGCCGTCTTTCACCACCACTGGAAATGCAAACCACTTTGGTCCATTCTCCTTGCCTGGCATCTCAGCCCTGAACCACCTGTTTTTTTCACTTCTAACTCAATCTCTCCTTATCTTCCACTGCACTCTCTAGAACAGAACAACTCTGCATTTCTGCCAACATCTCCCACCACTTCCTGATCTACCTGAACCCCTCAGGTCTGCCCAAGGGCATGGCTCTTTTGCAGGCCCTTCGAGTAGACGCCATGCAGTCCCCCAGGGAGACAGACTGGGATCCACAGTCAGTGTACTCTTGCTCCCTTCAGTGTGGAACTCTCTGACCCACATGCTCAAGCCATCCTCCCAAGGGAACCATCCTCTAAGGCTATCAAGGCCTCCTTCTTTCTCCCTTACTGACCCACCAGACAATCTCTCCCAGGCATCACCTCCTGCTACTACCCTGGACAGCTTCAGCACCCAGGGTTGGAGGCCCCTCCCTGGCCTAAGTCTCTTCACCCTTCAGTCTGTGGCCTTCTGCCCCATTCCACCTCAGCAAACCAACTCTGAGGACACTCCTGGTACGTGCTCTCATTCTGAAAACTTCAATTCTGAAAGACTGGCCTCTCTGACCAGATGCCTTGGGTCATCCAGCTCTCCTGCTCTTTCCTTTCTCCCCTTCACTGATCACCAGGAGCCAAGGCTGGGAGGTCCCTGTGGCGGCTTCTCCTTCCCCCTCCTGCCTAGACGTGGTGTGGGACTGGTTATACAGAATGATGTCTCTCCAACCACTCTCCATTCTTTAATCCTTTTACCTCCTAAATCATCTTCTCTGTGATGGATCAACACAACAACTTACTAGAACTCCCTAGTCCTTTACCTGGATAAAGAACAACCCATCATACCCTGTCCTGTATGATCTGGGGTGTCCAATCCCTCAGTGACTGCCAAGTCTATTATCATCCCCTTCTGGTCTATTTCAAGACTCAATCCCACACCCACGTTTTCTTTGTTCTATAAATAGTTCTGCTTTGTGTCTCAGAGATAATGAAGGTCATCAGGCATGAACTCCCTTAATGTCCTGCCCTTCTCCACCTACAAATAGGCCCCATGTGTGCCCACCCTTTCCTCCTGGCCCTCTATTTTGGAGAAGGGGTGGGTCTGCTCCTATCTGAGATTAGTCCACCGCATAAGCTCTCCATCCCATGCCCTCTTGCCTCCTCCAGGACTTTTCCACATCAGTGACACCCTCTCTTTCCAGTATTTTTAATCTCTATCTCTGCAATAGATCTTATTGCTCAGGGAAAAACAAAAACTACAGGCAGATCTCAAATCTCAAAAGATTCACCGGACATCATCGCTAGTTATTGCCCCATCTGTCCTTCCTTCCTTCCTTTGGCCAAACTTCTTGGAAGGAAAGTCTACTCAATGCCTCCGACTTCCCTCCCACCGAATTTCTTTCCTCCAGCCTGAGGGCCAGACTCCCCAGATGGATTTCAGCCCATCCTTCCCTTCCCCTCTCCTTCTCTCCTTCCTGAAATTTTGCTCTCAGTTCTGCAGTTTTACTCTCTCCTGAGAATTTGCACACAGATAACCTGAATTTTTCCTCACAGAAACTTATGAAAAGTTAGAAAAAGTGTGCTTGCTCTCCAGGCTTTCTCTGGCCTGCAATAATGCAGCTTGTTCTTGGAAATACTCGCATTAGTTCTAAGGGGCTGGTTTTCAGTCCGAAGCTCTACAAATCCAGGTCACCTGTTACGTAGTAAGAATCAGGAAGTGAAAATACTAAGTTATCACACCTAATTCCATCCACAAATATTTGAGTGCCAATTCCAAAGATAAAACTGACGTGTTCCTTTCCCTTCTATATATGACTATATGGTTATTTGCATTCTTATTTTTATTTTACTATTTTTTATTCTCACTTTTAGTACCTTCTACTGTCTCAATTTCTCAGATTTGGATACTTTATTAACTTTTCTGGGTTATAAGAGTAGTCTTTCATAATTATTACTTCAATATACTAAAAATTATCAAAATATATTTCTATAATGAAAAAATTTTTTTCAGTAATATTTTGTGATTTCTTTCTAGTTATATAATGCAGTTATAAAACACAAGGAATGTAGGTCCCCACCTGTGACAAAGCTGTGAAATAAATAGTAAGAGGACTCACTGAAAAATGTAAGGATTTCCTCTAAATTTCTATAATGTGTCATATTTGCAAGATGCTGATTTTAAAATATTAAGAGCCTAAACTGATGGCTACTTTCAAACATCAATAAAGAAACATCTAGGAGATATGTATTAAAAATTATTGCAATTAATTTGTGATATATATGCCATAAAAAAACAAGTTTAAAAGGGTCCATTATCGAACTCTCTTTGGAAAATTAAGTTTTTGAAGAACACTGTGCTAACATGCTCTAATCCCAGGTTATCCAACAGGCAGCCCAGAGCCACGCAGAGTGGGAACTCTGGTTTCTGGTCCTAATGGCAGCTTTAAAGCTAAAATTTCCAGGTAGTCTTTCACCTCTAAATTTTTTACGATGTCAAATAGGTAATAAGACAAAATTTAGAAGATTCACCTTAAAAACTGAATTAAGTTTTCACCTCTGAAAGCACAAGATCTGCTTTCATATGTTTGGGTAAATTTATATACTATCCTTTGCCTACCACAGTGCTCAAATCTAAATGTTATATTGACTATATCTGCAAAGGTATTTCAAGTAATCTCAGAGTGAAAATTGTTAACAAAGAAGGGCTAAAGTAATCTACTACATAATTCTTTTTTTTTCTTTTTTTTTTTTTTTTTTTGTAGATTTTTGTGTAAACCAGGGTCTAAAGACATTTTCTGAAAACTTTTTCATAAAATAAAATCTACCTTCAGGAGTCATTTTCTCAATCATTTCTCCAAAGATCCTGAACGTTTCTCTGAAGAAAATTTCTAACTTTAAATAACGGAACTATTTTCTACCAATGAATATGGCTGAATTCTGATGGACCACAAGGATCAAGTTTTCTATTTTTATCAAGTGTTCTCTGTATGTGTGTAATTTCATCTCTAAGCAATAAAATTGAGAATAAAAAGTATTTTACAAAATGACTTGGAAATTAGCATCTCTAAACAATACGATAATCACAGCAGAGAGTTTACCTGAACAAACAGAGCAATGATGGCGATCCCGTGCGGCTTCCCCACAGCCTCATCAATGCTGCCAAACAGAGTGGAGTTCCAGTGGATCAGATGGAGCTGGGTGAGTGGCAACAGACAGACCACATCATTTAATGTGCTATTTCTAGTCATAAAAGCAAAGATATAGCCATTTCTTTACGATTTCTATATGGTATCACACACAGCAAGAGGATCACAAGTAGACACAAACTACTGGCTTCATACGAGTTCTCTGTATGAATTCCTTCCTTATTATTTCTGAGCAGAAGCAGTGCTTAGTGGATCGCTGCCTCTTAGGTCCAATTTTCATCCTGATGAGGAGGAAGATGACTAGAGGGACTCACAGACTTCACATGGATTCAGTTACCTTTCCTGGGATGTCATCCTTTTGAATCTCCATGAAACAAAACTCCCAGTCTGGGCACAAACACTAGAACTCATTCAAAGGATGAATGCCTGCATAATCAAATCCTGCATCACCCAGTATTTCCATCAGGAAATGTACAAAGCCAGTCTGTAGTTCTAGTAAATTATTTTAACTTTCTAAGAATATCCAGAGATAGCATCCTGGGAAAAAAAGAAAAAAAAAAAGCTGCATATTTAAAGCCATGGTAAAATAATAAATGCTGATGTAAATCTCTAAAAGAAGGCTATTTCCTGCACTGGAGATAAAATTTTATCTGTGAAGAAATGACAAACAATGCTCAGAGGCCTCCCTCACTCCTAGCCTCATAAAGCTTTGCAGCTTTCAAGTTTATCTAGAATAAGCACTTGCTCCTACAGCACTGATAAAACACTTGCAAGAAGCCAAATTCAATTCCTGATTAAAAACCAAATGTCCACTGAGGTTCTTAGTCTAATAGTAGGTAGGTAAACCTTTAGTATACTAAATACTGCTTAGTATAACAGTAGGTAAGTAAATATTACCTTCATCACTACAGCTTTTCATCAAGTTATAATTACCGCCTTACAACATTGCCTCATTTTAAAATTAGTTCTAATACCAAAAGACATAGCTAAAATTCAACCACTATTTATTTTAGCATTTATATTAAAATATTCAAGAAAATTATCATAAAGATGGCCACAAATTGGATTTTTCCACTGCTGAATTAATCCAAGTAGAATCTGATATTATAAAACTGACCACTAGAGGGAGGTAATGAACTCCTCTACCAATAATAGAACAGGTAACTAGGAAAAGTGCCCCATGGCTCACTCAGCCAGGTCAGGCTGTGAGGCTGTGAAAAACTCACAGAGACTGTGACTATCCAGTAAACGCAACTGAAAGGCACTGCTTTTAAGAAAACCATGTTCTATAATCTCTCAATAATAAAAGACAATTTTAATCTTCCCTTCTCTGGCTGCAACAACAGCATAGGAGTCCTAGTGGTAGAGGTAAGAACTGATTGCCTTAATTAAACCACCAACAAAGTAGGTCTAGGCCCAAGGTTAAAATAAATTTTTATTCTACAAATTACAAAATTCCAACTGACATTTTTCTTACTTCTCACAGCAATATTTTGGGACTTTTTTTAAACAAAACATTCATAAACCACAAAAGCATGGGTTTTTCTTTTTCCCTACTCCCCACAATTCAGCAACATCATCACTCACACCTGCCCTTCAAAAGCTGCTGCACATTTTTTGTGTGTTTAAAAAGCTAAGGGTCCCCACTCCTTAAGTGTGCACCGTGGGTGGTGACTTTGTTTCAAACAGTAAAGTATGGAACGGGGATAAAAATAGTGACTTTACAGTAGATAAACCTAATAAACACTATCTGATCAAGGTCAACATCAACAGTGATTAGTCATGTTGATAGGGTGTATGTATCCTTATATGTGAAGAAAATGGCACTTTACTGCTGTGTTTTCTCTCAATGACCCATAACCCAATCTAGCCACAAGAAAAACATCAGACAAATCTCAGTGACAGACACTCCACAAAATACCTCACCAGTAAGTACTCCTCAGAACTGTCAAGGTCGTCAGAAACAAGGAAAGCCTGAGAAAAATGTCACAGCCAAAAGAAGTCAAAGAAGACATGAGAACTAAATGCAATATGGTGTCACAGGTGAGATCCCAGAACAGAAAAAGGACATTAGGTAAACACTAAGGAAACCTAAATAAAATATGGATTAGTAACATATCAGTATTGGTCCATTAATTGTAACAAATGTAACCATGCTAATGTAAAATGTTACTAATAGAAGAAACTGGGTTGGAGTGCATAGGAATTTCTGTACTGTCTTTATAATTTTCCTATAAATGTTAAACTGCTCTAAAAAATATTCTTTTTAACAAAAGACAAAAACTAAGAGAAATGCTGGCACTTCAGTCAACCCAAGCTAACAAGGATAACAGAAGGTTGCTATGACCCCCGCATGTCTAGCAAAATAACACAAAATGAAAGCAGCAACAGCAGCTCTCCCACGCATCCTTCTCTCTACCTTCTGTGTCTTCAATAATCACCTGAGTCTTGGTGGTTCCAGGGCAGGAGAGATTCTCCCTTCACAATAACAAGGGACCCAAGCTTTAAAAAACAAAGCTCTGTCCTGCTTCTGATAAACCTTCTCTTGAAGGTCCTTTCTCTCATTTTCAGACCAAACAAATCATGACAGACGCCCTTTCTACACCAGTAGAGGTCGGCTAACTCAAGTACCAGGCAAATGTCCACTCCATTCTGGAACTCAGCCAACCTTCAGCTGTAACCTAGTAGTGGTAACCTAGATGCGTGGCCCACAGGCACAGCACTCTGCACCTGCGCTGCCTCTCAAGTTAGCTTGCTCTGCTCCCCACGCGCCTTTCCTCTCCATCTGTATGAGTCTGCTAAGGTTGTCATCACAAAGTGGCACTGACTGGGTGGCTTAAACAATAGACATTTATTTTCTCACATTTCTGGAGGGTGGAAGTCTGAGATCAAGGTGTGGGCAGGGCTGGTTCCTTTTGAGCCCTGTCTCCTTGGCTTATAGATGGCTACCTTTTCCCTTTGTCTTCACATGGTCTTGCCTCTCTAGGAGTCTTGTCCAAATTTCCTCTTCTTGTAAGGACACCAGTCATAGTGGATAAGAGCCTGCCTAATGATTTCCTTTTAACCTAATTATTTCTGTAATGACCCTATGTCCAAATATGGTCAGTCTGATGTGCTAGGAATTGGCATTTCAATATGAATTTGGCAGGGCCACAATTCTGCCCAAGACACCAGCTATCTCACCCTTTGCTTTCTGCTCACCTTAAGAAAGTCTTTTCAAATCTGAAAAGCTTGAATTATTCACATCGACATCTGTTCTGCCACTGCCCCTTCTTTATTCCAATAATTTTATCATATTGTGCCTTATATTAATTAGTGCTGGTTCTGTTTCACAAAGCAAAGCCACAGAGGCAGGAAATTGTAAGTGCATTTGAAAGACTAACGGTACCTTGGTGGGTAGCTAAAGGGTACATAAGTCTGGCAATGACAAGAGTTGAGGCTAGAGAGCTAGAGGGGTCAGACTGCACAGAGCTTTCAATGTTATCATAGCTGTATTCTGGAAAACACTAAACCAATATATTATTTCAATGAATATTACGTGTGCAGTCTGGAATCAAACTCCCCCATAACAACCTCTTTCTTTCAAAGGTCTTTTTGATTGTGCAGGGGCTGGATTGGAAGTAGCAGACATTAAAAGCTGGAATATAAGCTAGGAGGACACCACAAAAGTCCCAGCTAAAAAATGATGACAGGAATGCAGGACAGTTAATTTTATGTGTCAACCTGGCTAGGCTACGGTGCCCAATTGTTTGATCAAACACCAGTAGAGACATTGCAGTGAAGGTGCTCTTTAGATGTGATTGACATTTAAATCAACAGACTTTGAGTAAGGCTGAATGCCCTCCACTATATGAGCAGGCCTCTGCCATACAATCAGTTAAAGTGCTTAAGAGCACAGACTGAGGTCCCCCAAGGGAGAAAAAATTCTGCCTCCAGAGCTCTGGATAAAAATTGGCCTGAGTTTCCAGCCTTCAAACTCAAGCTGCAACATCAACTCTTACATGAATTTCCAGCTTTTAGCCTAACTTGCAGATTTCAGATTTGCCAGCCCCCACAACCACATGAACCAATCCCTTAAATTAAATCCCAATCGCTTCTTTCTCCAACTCTGTTTCTCTCTCTTTCTCCCTCTCCCTGTTTCTCTGGAGAACCCTAATACGGATCATGCAAACAAAAAAAAAAAAGTATGGTAACCAACAGAAGTTTAAATCTGATGATGCCTAACACCAATGGGAATAAAGAAAAATGACCCTAACATTTAGCCGTGACAACATTTGGGATTTATTCTTCTAAGATAAAACACGGTCCCCTTGGGGAGGGGGGATGAAGTGACAAAACAATCCTCTGATGATCAAAAATAACATATTATAACTTCTACTTATATTTATTTTTATCAAATGGCTTTTTATTTCAACTTTTTCTATGCTTCATAAAATATATAATATAAATACATATTAGTACATGAATATAATTTATTAACAAATATACACATATTATGGATACATGCTCCAAAGTTTGTTCTAATGCAGTGGCTAAAGACATCTGGAGACAAACAGGTTTGAATGGAAAAGCATATGATACTACAGATATGGCTCAGGAAATGATGAAGCAGCCCACAGTACATCTTATGAACTGTCTTATTAAGGTCCAAGTAGACAGCTATTATCAGCAGAGAGGACTCACAAGACTCACTTCAAAGCCTAACAGCCCGGATATGCTCTGGGGTGTGTCTGGTCTATGGAGAGGGCAGGATACAGAGGCAGCAACCCTGTGCACTTCTCCAACTCCATTGATAAATTCTGAGAGGCAATGTGCTCTCATAAAAGACCTCAGCTAGGAATCTCGTCTTAAGATTCTTGTTTCAGTTCTACAACTCTTTAGCTCTGTGAACTTCACTAGTCACTAACTTCTTTCAGCATCAGTCTCTCTGTAACACAGTAGACTGTATCTTAAAAGCCTGGATTATTCACGCCTTTATCTTCCCATAGTACTATTTTTCCTATATTCTTATCACGTTTTACTGTTATTAGCATTAGTTATATATAGCC